AGGGAGGAACTCATTCAGCAGAAACCTTTGAACCACTGAACATGACGTGTGGTTAAAAAGACAAGAAGAAATATTGTCCCGGGCAGGAAAAATCCCTGAGATGTCATGATGTAAAGGAACGCATATTTCAAACTGAGATGTTATTGTATAAAGGAATGGGAAACTGAGGAAAACGTTCAACAACAACAGTGGGGGTTTTTGGGTTTTTTTTTGTAGTGCCATGAGGAAAACAAGTTTGTTTTGTGCGCCTGGAGCTATACACATGGGTACACTGTTTGGAAAGACTCAATTTTATATGGATTTTGCAGGTCCTCACTGAGTGAGAGGGTTCAAGATCTAGTTTGGAGTTGGGATTAAAACAGTCGGATAAGAGTTTGGGTAAGAATTAAGATGATTTGTACCTGTTTAGGCAGTGGTTCCCAAAGTGAGGGGTGGGCCCCAGGGGGCACACAGTTATTGCAGGGTTTCACAGCAAGGACAATTCATTTTGATTGGAATAATTCCTCAATTTGTGCCATAGTGGGAGAATTCAACTTTTTTTGTGATATTATTTTCTCTGACTCGGGGGGGCGTTAGGTCTATGTGAAGTGATCATACAACAACATGTGTCTGTGTGCCTGTGGACTGAAAAGGAAGTACAGCAGACCACACGGCCCACATGATTGATACCTACCAAATTAGCCTCTCTTTCAGAACGAGAGACTGTGAATATCTACGTACTCTGCAATCAACAGCTTTGTGTTTCTCTCTGTGATAATTGCAACCCAGACAGGAATCAGACCAAAAATAGTCTCTCACTTTCCCAGTTAAATTTGCTTGACAGGATCACTGAACAAGCTTTAAAATTTGTGACACCCAGTGTTTCGCTGCTAGTTGTACGAGGAAAAGTTACTACTGAGCCCCATATGGTAGATATCTTTGGTAGAAGTCTTTTTTTATTTTTTGTTGACGAGGTGATGCTTCCATTGATCATGTGGCGTTACGTTAGCTCCATTCATAATGCTGTAATGGTGGCTGAGTGACAAATATACAGCTGAGTGTGCTGGCATTTACATAATGTGAAGCTAAATCTGTCACTGATCTTATTAACGGTCTGAGCATGACATCAGTCAGAGCACAAATAATCTAAGTATTGTAAACATGTGAAATATTACCCAAGTTAATGAGATTTCAATTTCAATTTTTCCTCTGCAGTGATGTTCTCAAAACGTCAAACTAAACTTTATTTTAGTTAAGGATCTTCATAGCGGGGGAAATAAAATACGAACAGATTAATGTGACCCATTTCTGAGCCGTTCTGGTTTCTTTATTTTTAGACAGGAAATTGAAAAATAAGGCACAAATGTATTACTGCGCGTGGTTGGATGTTAATGTGAGCAGGCTTGACAGGAAGCCAATTGTTGATGAGAGACGAGTGCCTGTGAGGCAGGTCAACAACAACCACTGGACTCACAGCTCGCTGGGTAGAAAATGTCTGTAGGGCAAAGCATTGACCACCACATACACTGTGGATCAATCCCACACATGCAGCAGAGAGACACTGGCAAACTGTAAGGATATTTAAAAAGAACATGAGGTGGCAGTGCACAGAGGGAAGACGCAAACATGTTTAAAATATATGGAATCTGAGTGTTAAGGTTAATTTAATTATTAAATAGGATATTTTATGCAAATTAATAGAAGGTTCTTGCTGTCTAACAAATGTTAGTAATATCTTGGTCGGAAAAAAACAAAGTACCGAAAACATCTAGGTTCTCGACAGCTATTTAGCAGTCGTGTTCTGACAAGTCGGTTTCCGTGCCTTTACCTTTAAATACCAATGAGCCAATTGCTAGCTCAGCCCGCTTCTACGTACTTTGCATAACCATGGAGACGATTGAGCAGCAAACAAAAAACAAATTCTTCACTAATTTCATTATTAGGTGGCAGGTTTCTATTATGGGGCAACACTTTAACTGGTGGAGGATTTTTCTCTGTATTTGTATTTTATTTTTCATCACATTAGGATAAAAGCAGCTTGACAAGTGTTTTAGTTTTCCTTAAAACTCTTTGCTCTTAGGAAAAGTGATGAGTCACACTTGGATTTGTTTGTTTCCCTGAAGACAAAGTGATGTGTTGTGGTTGACTGACTCCAATCATTAGACTGGAGCTCAATCCATCACTGCCCCTCACTGTCGTCCCGTTGTCTTTTGGGCTTGTTAAGAGAATGGATAGGGAATTGTCCAGCACTTGTCAGTAAATGCATCAGGGTTTATTGCAGTCTACTCTGGAGTAGGTCCAACTGTGCCTCTCAGGTACCACAATCCAATCAAAAAACAGAGAAAAGAAACTGGAGGACAACTCCAAAGGAACCAATAAGCACCGTGAGGATTACCAACAAACTGAAACATCCATTTTCCATTCGGAAAAGAGCTTGGATACATACTAAAAATGTACACGGCAGCGCAGTGTAGAGCAATCAATGTGTTCATTAGGCCAGCAAACCAATTTTCTATTTGAATAACCCTCATAATGGGTGGGCTACCGCTTAACCTTGTTTTGTGTGAATAGCATGTCTGTAGATACAACACAAACAAGAAAAAGAGTGAGTATCAACCTGACAGTGGTACAGGTAAAAGGTGACCACTTTCTAATCTTCCACAATCATCGGAATCTCTCCAGCCAAGACAGTGTGGCACAGAGGACAATAATTGGAAAATCACAGCCAGTTCTCTAAATTATCCTCAATGCACCAAGGTAATTTGGCTGTGTCTGAACACCAGCTACCTTGGCTTCTGAACGGAGCAACTGTTATAACATCTGAGATCAGAAGCAGCAGGGAAAAAAAGTCATATGGTGTAACAGAATAAAAATATCTTCAAGTGATTCGATCATGTGCAAGAAGTGCAGAGAGAAAGGACTGCGCAGAAATATTCTGAAATTGAAAAAAAAATAGATTAAAATCACACCTGAAGTTTTTTTAAATTCATTTTTCACAAATGTTCCTCTTTTTAATAAAACACAGTACAACAACCATCTTAAACAGCAGCAACAGTGAAAGGGAAGGTTACTAAGAGAGCGTTGGGACCTGCTGTGACGTAAGGTTTAGTAACCTTGGCTGTGTTTAGTAGACCAAATGCTGAGCTGGAGGCAGTAGGAATTAAGAAGCTGGGAGTGACCAGGATGGACAGGATACAGAAAGATTAGATTAGATTAGATTGATTTTTATTGATCCCACACAGGGGAAAAAAGATTTATGGATTTTGTGAAAAAGGACATGGAGACAATAGGTATTAAAGTAGGAGAGGTAGATAATCAGCGGTGGCATCTAATTAAGGGAACAGCTGAAACAAGCAAATTACAAATTCCTTAAAAAAAAAGTTACTTTTACATGTTTTGACCAAAGTAGACCAATAAAACAAAAGTTACTATGTTTTAACCAAAGTAGACCAATAAAATATGTAATGACATGTATGCCAGACCTATGCTGAAGTACACATTTGTGTTTATATATGCCAAACTAAGTGATATTATACATTTTTATGTAAAATAAATATGTGTGGCGATTTTAAAAGCCACCACTTTCTTAAAAATTAAACACTGCACAGTGACTTTACCACACTCATTAACTTTCTTCTGTTTAGGCACACTACACGTTCTTCCCAAAAGGCCTCACACCTTGAAAGTCAGTGATGCATGAACAGCAATCACATGGAAAGAAAAGACAAACTCTGGATGTACAAAGGGGAAATGATGGTTAAAATTGAAATCTAAATAAATAGTTAATGAGGAAAGTTTCTGAAATCAGCTTTATAACTTTCTCAAAGAACTATTACCAGAACACTAAATGTTAAAACTAGAAGTTTAATTTTTAGGTAAATTAAACTTCTAGTGCTGTAATCACTTTTGTAGTTTGACTTTTTGAATACATCGATAGTTTGTTTGTTATTTATGTATTGTTTCATTTACATTTATGTTTTTTTGTTGTTTGCTGCTACAACTAGGTGTAGTGCATATATGCGGTATTTCAGCGCAGAAGAACGCTCTCGAAGCTTTACAACTGCCCTCCCCTCGTCAGGAGGCGGCTGAGCCAATCACAGCAATCGTTGTTGGGAGGTGCTCAAGTTGTTCGGAGGCTCTTACCCTCTCGTCAACATGGTGAGTCCAGTGTGTTGAAATGATAAGTTATTAACAGTAGAACTAATGTATAAACCACCAAAAGTTTCTATGTAACTGTCTGTTGTTTGTATGATTACACTCACGCTGTTTCCAATTAGCAGTTTAGTGTTTTAACTGTTCTCTTACGTCACGGGTTAGCATGCCGTGTTAGCGTTATGCTAAGATAGCGGCAAATGCAAATCGTTATGATCCAGACTACGTTCTGAAAACAATTGTAACGACAAAATAAAAGGGCGAAGCAGAACAGTTGTCTTTATTTGTATGTGGCATCGATAACGCATTTAGTATTGTAGCGTGGATATGTTTATAGAAAGTAATATGTGTATTAAAGTGCCTCGCCAATCTCTGCTAGGACACTCATTCATTCAGAGCAATGGATGTTAGCGGTTAGCATTAGCCCACAAATGATAGCCTCTCCATTATTTAGCATTAACTATCTCAGTTATTTATATAAAAAATATTATGCGGGCAAATTGTTTCTTAGTCTTCTCTGAGCATTCACCAATTAGCACTCTCCGTGTGTCTATCGGTTTCCACGCCAACTCGCTAGCTTGTGCACAGGTGCTCTGTACATCTGTCAATAGATCGTCCATATATTCGTGTATTGTATTTTTAAAATGTAAAGAGTAATGCGTATCATATAAATTACACGATACATTTTTGATTAGTACAAACATAAAATAACAATTTCGTTTTTGTTTTTGAGCGATCATTTAACTGAAGGTCGAAGCGTTTTTTCCGTTTTCCAGCATCGGCTTTTTATTTTTAAACTGTACACCCGCACGTCTTAACTTGCTTTAATCACAACCTTTTTTGTTTTATTTTACAATCAAAGCCTTAGTAACCAGTTGCTTTCAAAGGACTTAAAACAGCAAAAACAGCACAAGAACACGTGTGCTTGTTTTAGCCCCAGATCACACACCACCATGCTTCACATTTAATTTTTTTAGTTTCTAAATGTTTATAGTGCTGTAAGAAGTGATCACCTGTGTGGCTCTGTTTCTTTTAATTACATCACATATAGGGCGATTAGCTGTAATTTAGTGCTTGCATACAATTGTGTACTGCAGCACATGAGATGCCACATGAAAATCAATGGTAATTTGTTTGAAATGTGTCAACAGTCTGCTGACAGAGGTAGGACACTACTGCTGATAAACACCATGCTGCACACGCAAGCTTTCCAGGTGTTGTGTGGGAAAACACATGACGCATGAAAGTGAAATGAAAAAAGACTGGCTGAGGAAATGGTATCAGGCTTATCAAAATGAAATATAAATTAAACAGATTTTAAAACCTCTTTTCCTATTCTCACTTATGCAGACTACTGCTTTAAAAATTAGTGGCAGTAGCTGGAGGTAAGACTTTTGATAGAATATAATACCCTTACATATATCCTTAAACTTAACAAAAATGTTTTGAAAATACACAATGGCCAGCAGTGACATAAAAAGTAAATTTCAGCATGTACTAATAATGAGGATCCGTGTCTTTAGATTTTCTACAGCTGACCCCGATGTTTTGGTGCAATTTTCTTTAATAAACTGAAATAATATAAATAATTAATATAATATTACTAATATAGTCTAAAGTGAAATAAGCCTTGAATAAAACTTGACAATTTCTAGTAAATAAAATGGTGTTGACAGTTGTAGTATAAAATGTTGAAGTTATCGTTTAAATTAGTTAAAGTTATTGGTCCTGATATAAAACTATTTTTATTCCATATGATGATCTTGTTTTCAATCTTTACCCATTGTGATTGAAATCACTGTCTTAATCAATATTCCTTTAGATCTACTGTACAACACACTGCTACATGTGGTCTTTTAAGAATGGATGGTTTAGTAATCCATTCAGTAAAATAAGGCCATTGACTTGGTCTTTTTTTGTTTTTTTTTTATTAACTCATGACAGTCTTCATCGGAGGCTAATAATGGCCCGAGCCAAGCGTCACCGTATGCAGGTGTACCGCCCTCAGGGATACCTCCCCCATTTGTAAGTCGCCGACAGATATATTTATGACAAATTATTCCCCTGCTCTTCTAAGAAATTGCACTGAACTTAAGAGTAAATAAAGAGTAAAGAAATATGTTGAGTAAATAAAAGTTTACCTCACGGCTGTCATTTTATCTTTTTCTCTCCCTGATGTTAATTTAGATGGGACCTCCAGGAATACCACCTCATTTCCCTCCCATGGGAATGCCCCCAATGGGACAACGGCCACCCACTATGAATCCATTGCCTCCTGGAATAATGCCCCCAGGCATGATGCCACCAATGGGAGCACCTCCAATGGGACAGGTGAGAGACAACTGATAAAAATTTCAAACATTCATGTAAATGTTGGGCTTGTCAAGACATCCTGCTGTCAGTCTGCATGATGTCGTACATCCCAACCAAGTATAGAAAAAGGGCATTTATTTTACAAACCAATAGAAAAAAAATCATAATCACGGCTATTTTGGTCAATATTTAAATCACCATTTATTAACACAATTACTTACTGAGTAGAAACACATTGCATTATTGCACACAAGGAACTACAAGTATGATCACTCGCCAAAACTTGGCATGAAATAGAGAAGACAACGGAGAAGATCAGGGGTAGCAGATATGGATGAAGACTGATTGGCCACCAAACTTAAGACAAGTTCTGTCATGCGTACAAAAAAAATATTCAGAGTGAATAAGATGTTAAGTTAATGCAACTAAGACAGAGTATAATAAGTTTCAAATACTATTAAAAAATAAAATGAAACATATAAATATGAATAGAATATATAAAGTTGTTATGACTTTTATTAACGACTATGATGTATTGCTGATTCTTGTGTTGCTGTATGGTGTGGTAGACTTCACACCAGTGAACCTGGTTTACTTTTCTTGCAAACTTAATGCTGCTGCCGCTGCTCTGTCTGTTAACCCCTCCTGCTGCTGTCCTCCTCTCCCTGCCCTCTTTACTCGCCCTGACTTTTAAAAGCACCACCACCAGAATATGACTATGATGTATTGCTGATTCTTATGTTGCTGTACCCTGCCCTCTTTACTCGCCCTGACTTTTAAAAGCACCACCACCAGAATACACCGATGAGTCTAGCTATCAGAAAGGGTGCAAGTGCATGTGTGGGACAAAAGGGCAACATAAGAACAGACCTGCAGAGTTCAATTTCTATTATCTTGTTCTTGTGATAATTGAGAGTCAAAATGAAAGTTAAAACTCCATTAATTGCTCAGCCCTAACTTATTATTATTGTTCAACTCAAACTCCAAAAAAGTCTGTTTGGTCAGAGTGCAGCCAACTTAACGCTGAAAAGGTGATATGAAGCTGTGGATTGGAGTTGCTTGTGTTGCTGCTTCCCTGGTCACAAGCTGTGGAATCACACCATAAATAAGCTCAGTCAACTCGGTGTGAGTCTCACCTCCTCCTTCTTCTGCTCGCGAGCATCCTTCCATGTCGACACCAATCCCTGTCTCACACTGTGCCTGATACTCAACTCTGCACTGGGTGGTATGGAAATGCCAGATAAATATTTCACGTTGCTTCTTTTATTAGATGCCAGGCATGATGCCACCTATGATGCCTGGGATGATGTTGCCCCCTCGCATCCCAGCTGCGTCTGTGCAGCCAACAGGACCGGTAAATCTCCTCACTACTTTTTCATCAGCGCTCTGCTTCACACTTGGTAAAAATACCACAGCAGTCTGTGAAATGCTAAATGAAGCATTCGCACCACTGACAACCACTAGGGGCAGAGGTGACTGGATGCCAAATATGCAGTTTTCTGGAGCACAGAATGCAACTATTTAGCTAAAAAAAGAGTTACTGATATATTACACTTTTTTTGCCAGAATTGTTAGTTTTGATGGCTTTCTTTGTTGTTTTCTTACTTTTTGTTGTTTTACTCACAAATTAAATATGTAATTCAAGTGAAAAGCCTGCCAGGAAATTGTTTATTTAATTATTAAATTATGTTCTGTTTGCACATAATAGTCTGTCAAAGTTATTTACTTTTGAAAAAAAATACACTTATAAACCTGTCTTTTTTTACAGCCTGGTGTTGACACTCCAAGTAAGATCCACATTTGTTTATTTTTGTCTTTTTTACATATTGTAATCATTAGAAGTTCATGTTCTGACTGATTTTTACGTCTGTCCTCACAGCTGCAGCACCTGGAACAACCGTGAGTGTGTTTTACTGCTCATTTACTTCTCTATTAACAACTGTTTTTTTCTTCTTAATCACATTTGTTTTGACAAAAATGTATTTTTCTTTGTCGGTCTCTACAGAGTGCTACAAATGGATCTCCACAGGAGGAACAGGCAAAAAAGGTTTGAAAAATAAAAACTGTGATTATCTAAAACATGCCTTAATAACATTGCTTTTAGTTTAACCATAAACTTAATCATTCTATGGTTGTCTTTTTCAGAAGTCTGTTTGGACAGAACACAAATCACTGGATGGGAAAACCTATTACTACAATACAGAGACCAAGCAGTCCACATGGGAGAAACCAGATGATCTCAAATCACCTGTTGAGGTACTTGTTATTTTTACGTTTTATATCCGCGCTTTCACTCTTGACATAAATCACATCTGTTTTGAGGATCAAAACTAAAGTACAAATTGTAAAAGTGCCAGAATAAACAAGCTCTCCTGTCTGACATATATATATATACTGACATAATTTTACTAATATAACATTTTTTAATGTTCAAATTTGTTCCTTTTCTCCACTTTTTTAGCAAATGCTGTCTAAATGCCCATGGAAGGAGTACAAGTCAGACACAGGGAAGCCTTATTATTACAACTCTCAGACAAAGGAGTCTAGATGGACTAAACCCAAAGAGCTGGAAGATCTGGAAGGTACGCAGCACTAGTCTGATGATGTCAAACCTGTGGCTCTTCCATTAATAGAACACTGAATCAGATTTTGAGAGTTAAATAAAATAGATGTGGGTTTTAGATGTGGTTGGCACACTGGCATGGACTCTCCATTTGTACATTTACCTCGGTCTCTTATCTACAGTGAGCTTTGAAATGAAAATAAGAAGCTTAACGGCCTTTTCTTTTTGTCTTTTTCCAGCCATGATCAAAGCAGAGGAAAATGGGTATGAGCCTCCTGTTTACGCATGATTACTCATCACTGCTAGTACTTAGAATAACAAAACCAGTACTTAATGAAAGTTTTCAAAACCTTTTATTTGTTTTTCTTATTATACCTCATACATAATTTTCACTTTGGATATTCTGCCAGTGAGTTTTGATCTGGTCATATTGTTTTTCAATTGTCTGACGTGGCTTTTCTCACACTGGCCTGACTTCAGAACGGCAGAGCCACTGGCCCCCGCTGTCACCACAGCTCCTGCGGTGCAAGCAGAGGCAACAGTCACCGTAGCACCTGTAACGGAAACGGAACCTGCAAAAGCAGTCCCAGAGGAACAGCCCGCTCAGACAGCAGCGCAGCCCACACCTGAGGTCAAGACAGCAGATGTAGCGGTTGCCTCCTCAGAGAGCCCAGTTGCCCCAGAGGTGGCCAAGGCCAGGTAAACAAAGATGTCTGGGGCAGAACCATTAGGGACGGGACTTGTCTTAACGTCACCTCTTAAAGTGGAGGCGTGCTAGAAGATAAATGTTCAGAGTTAAAAAAATACAACGCTAGGTTAATAAAGAATCACCTTTTCACTTGTTTCTGCCAGTGTTGAAGTCATTGGCCAGAGATCCAGAAGAAAATATACAAATGGAACACAAAGGAAGAGGCCAAGCAGGCGTTCAAAGAGCTGCTGAAGGAGAAGGTAAAAACAAGACAAATCAAAGAAGGAGGAACCGTAGATAAACTCCTCTCCTGCTGAGGTCTTCAAGTAATAGACTAATTAGACAGAACCATCCTTACACTACATCTGACACTATACAGGAGGAAATGGAAATTAAAAAAAAAAAAATAGTTTACAGCTGCATTTTAATAATGTATGGCAACAGTGCTGAAGTCCTCTTTCTGACGTAGTCGTCATTAATTGACAGGAAGGACAACTTGAATCTAAAAATCAATTTAAATCCATCTGAGGCCCCACCTCCTGCTACATGCTTTGGTTGGTGTTTTTTGTAGGGTGGTCTGTTGTGCTGCCCACCTTGAAGGCTGCTATATTTAGTGTCTTTTTAATTTTGTGCACAAAGCTCTCCTCTGAGATTGCTCCCCATTTCCTGCAAGATCTAAACGGCTGAGGCTGCATGATTAGCTTTAGTGGATCAAAGGCACGGGGCGGACTGGGATTAAGACAGTCTGGGGGAAGTGGAATGCCTCAGTGAGTCAGAATAACTGTGACAGCTGACCAGACAGACACATGCTGCAACAGCTTCATAATGGATGAAGACTAGTGGCAGAAGGGGGCACTTCTCTGAATTATTGCCACTTCACATCTCTTAACAGGGCATCCATTAGTAATTAAGAGAGTATTAAGGTCGTGGAGCCGACTTAACACAAACTATTCTTCATGTCCCACTTGACTTTTTAAAGAAGGGAAGATGTCGTGACATCATGAAATTCTTTGTGTTTCAGGGCGTGTCCTCGAACTCCTCCTGGGAACAGGCCATGAAAATGATCATCAACGACCCTCGCTACAGGTGCTCCATCCTCTCAGGACCATTCTCTTCTAATTACTTCACACGAGGTCCTTTCCTCCAACTCTAAATCTCACTGTCTGTCATCTTTACAGCGCGCTTCCCAAACTGAGTGAAAAGAAGCAGGCCTTTAATGCTTACAAAGTCCAGACGGAGAAGGAAGAAAAGGAGGAGGCCAGAATTAAATACAAGGAGTCCAAGGAAACCTTCCAGAGGTTCTTGGAGAACCACGAGAAGATGACATCCACCACCAGATACAAGTAGGCGCTGCCCTCAACCCCCCGTCCCCTGGATTGATTTGTGGCTCTCCCAAATGTCAATCTGATTATTCACAGAGGAGATGACTGAAAGGTCATCGGTGGCTCACGCACGCCACTGTTACAGCACTGTTACAGCACTGTTACTGTGTCCCATTAGAGCTCATCACACTGAAGTCTAGCTGCTGAATTTAGGTGCTTTGTTCACAATCAAGTAATAAAATATGCAGTGGTTTTTATTTGGACACGTGCCACATTTAATGTTATTTCCATGATTGGTTTTGCTTGTTAAAGTCGGCCCACCCGTGGTCTTTTAGTCTGGCATTTGGTTGAAAGTCATTATGATGGACTGACTGAGTGCTGGCTCTGACGGTGAGCCAGTTTCAGGGTTCAATGCACTCTTGAGATAGCAAACAGCAGACAGTGGAGTGTTTGCTGGGCTCCATGTGATTGTACTCCCAACTACTTACGCTGACTTAAAAAGCATCAAGTGGTGAGAGGAGGAATTAAAATTTCAGATGACATCACCTCGAACGCCTTCTTCATATATTCTACATTAACAGTGACTCTGAAGGCTTGCACTTAACATTAAAAAAACAATTTCCATGGTGGGAGATAAGTTTGAGAAGGGAAATACTGCCCTCGTGTGGGCGATTGTCTAAATAAAACCTGCTAATTATGTGTTTTTTCCTTTTCTAGGAAAGCAGAACAAATGTTCAATGAACAAGAGGTTTGGAGCTGTGTTCCAGAGAGAGACCGACTGGAGATCTATGAAGACGTCTTGTTCTATCTGGCCAAGAAGGAGAAGGTCAGACTTTGTTACATTATCGGCTCGAACGGTATCTGTCACTAATCTGCGTACAGTAAAGTATTTTGCCAAATGCTGACGCTGTTGTTACTTTGGTTTCCAGGAGCAAGCCAAGCAACTCAGAAAGAGAAACTGGGAAGCTCTGAAGAACATTCTGGACAACATGGCCAATGTCACCTATCGCACCACCTGGTCTGAGGCCCAGCAGTACCTGCTGGACAACCCCACCTTCGCCGAAGATGAAGAGCTGCAGAGTATGAGCAAGAAAAAAACCCCAAAACCTCACAGCTTAGTTTGACCACATTATTTACAAGAAGAAGGTTTGTTGATCGTGCTCTGCTCCTCTGACAGATATGGACAAGGAGGACGCCCTCATTTGTTTTGAGGAGCACATCAGAGCCCTGGAGAAGGAGGAGGAAGAAGAGAAGCAGAAAACTCTTCTGAGGGAGAGGAGACGACAGCGCAAGAACAGAGAGTCCTTCCAGGTGACACTGAGATTAGATTAACGCTGTAATATAAAACAGTACCAGGAACAGTTTATAACTGCCGTCTATAAATGTCTCTTAAGTCACTGTTCTCCTGAACCAGTGGCTGCTCTTTGGTCCATTAATCCAAAAGTGACGATATAAAGGTTTTCAATGCTCCTGTCTCTTTGGTCCATTAATCCAAAAGTGAAGATATAAAGGTTTTCAATGCTCCTGTCTCAGGCAGGGACTGTTTGATTTGACATTATGACTACTGCAGTGGATCACAAATAGTTCCCGGTACTGTTACTGCCATTTTATGTGCCGTATTGCACCTCAATGCTAATAACGCTTTTTCTTTTTTTTCCTCTCAGAAATTTCTGGATGAACTCCATGACCACGGCCAGCTCCACTCCATGTCTGCCTGGATGGAGATGTATCCAACTCTGAGCTCAGACATTCGCTTTGTAAACATGCTGGGACAGCCAGGTAGAACGGGTGAAATAAATATTTTTATATAATATTTTAACAGTGAAAAACGTGGCTCTACACACATCTGCAAATCCAAATACTGAATCACTGACTTAGTCGAGTGTAAATTGCCTACATATGTCATCTGCAAATCACTGACTTAGTCGAGTGTAAATTGTCTTTATTTCATATAAAGCAAACATTGAAACTTTTTGTTCATCTATTTAGGTTCCACTCCTCTGGACTTGTTCAAATTCTATGTGGAGGATTTGAAGGCTCGCTACCACGACGAAAAGAGAATCATCAAAGATATCCTGAAGGTGAGGGTCTGACAACAGAAACCTGTCGGCCATCTGCTGGTCCATTATGTTACGTTATGTTCAATTCTGTTCTCTCCTTTCTAAAGGACAAAAGCTTCCTGGTGGAAGTGAACACCAGCTTTGATGACTTTGGCTCCATCATCAGCTCAGACAAGAGAGCAACTACACTGGACGCAGGAAACATTAAACTGGCCTTTAACAGTGTAAGACTACAGACCTGTTCATCTTCATCACAGTTTTATTCTTCACTTGACTTAATTTTAACTTCATCTGATTTGTAGTCGTACAATTTTCGAAAATATTCCCTCCTGTGTGTCTGTGCAGTTGCTGGAGAAGGCAGAAGCCAGAGAGAGGGAACGGGAGAAAGAAGAGGCCAGAAAAATGAAAAGGAAAGAAGCCGCCTTTAAGAACATGCTGAAACAGGCCACGCCCCCACTGGAACCAGAGGCCGCATGGGAGGGAGTACGTCTGTGTTTTTCAAAATATTCTTCTGCTGTCACTGCAAATATTCCTTTATTTGCCGTGTCTGAGTCTCCATTATCAACATCATGTTTTGTTTTTTAAAAGAGCGATGCTGAAGTTCTTTTCTCCCTGTATTTCCCTCACTGTCCTGCTGTGGCGCTAATTCCGACTCATTTCAACATCTTAGGTCAGAGATAGGTTCTTGAAAGAACCCGCCTTTGAAGACGTGACTCTGGAGTCGGAGAGGAAGAGGATATTTAAAGATTTCATGCACGTCTTGGAGGTGAAAGTCCTGACAAATCTGAAATTTGCTGAAAAATCAGCATTTATGTCGACGCTAAACGTGTGTTTTAATATTTGAACAGCACGAGTGCCAGCATCACCACTCCAAGACGAAGAAGCACTCCAAGAAGTCCAAGAAACACCACAGGAAACGTTCCCGCTCTCGATCGGTCAGTAGGTCCTCATCTGCCGCACTGAGACAGTGACCCAGGAGGAAACTGTTAACTCAGCGAGCTACGCCCTCTGTCACGACTCACTGATCTCTAAATTACCTGCCTTCACTGTTGCGACAGGGTTCAGAGTCTGAGGACGAGGAATACCACAAGAAGAAGAAGAGGTCGCAGTCCAAGTCGCCCTCTGAACACTCCTCCAGCGGAGAGTCCGGTGAGTGGGTTTCACAGTCGACTGACTCTGTTCATCATGTGGATATTTTACTCACACCACTGCTGGTTTCTACTGTAACACCAGAGAGAAGCTATAAGAAGTCCAAGAAGCACAAGAAGAAGGCGAAGAAGAGGCGTCATAAGTCTGTGAGTGACTATGACCATTTATAAATTAATCATTTAAAACAAAAAGTTCATTAGTTGGGCAGCCCTATTTACTGTACACAGTCAACAGTAATTCAGATGAACAGGATGACCTCACTGTGATTGTGTGTCAACCAGGCATCACCAGAGTCTGACGGTGAGAAGAAAGGAAGAGACCGCGACGGGAAGCGCGACAAAGACCTGGACAAAGACAAGGAGAATGACAAATCCAGAGGGAAGTCTCACTCTGACAAACAGAAGTCTCCTAAAAGAAAAGCTGCCAGAGAGGAGGTACGTGTTTCTACTGTTACCGTGCTTATGTGTAGTATCATTATTAATTTTTACTATCAAAATGTAACGCTGTGTTTGCGCCGTGTTTCCTCAGGGCGGCTGGGATACATCTGGCAGCGAGCTGAGCGAAGGAGAGCTGGAGAAAAGGAGAAGAACTTTACTGGAGCAGCTGGACGCACCGTGATGACTGCGTTTCTGCCGCTCTGTGCTACATTTGTACACTTGTCAGGCGTCCATTCATGCATTCCCCCTCAGTCTCATCTGACTGCACTGGTCTAAAATATCATGCTGGACTAACTGTCACTGGCAATTGATTAGAAACAAGTTACAGTAAAACTGTCAATGCTAAAAAAAAAAAAGAAAAGGAGGGACAGAAGGAGATTCAGAACAGCTGATAAAAGGTGAAACGTCAGGTTCTGCTTTTGTTTCTCGTCTTCTTTAAAGATCCTTCAGTTGACTGTAGTTGTACATGTTTTTCTTTTCTTTTTTATTATTCAATTAAAGCATATCTTAATATCCCACTGAGTCTGGTATTTCATTATTAAAGTGATTTTTTTTAAATAACAGGACATTTCTGGTCTGCTCTTAGCAAATCATGCTCAAAAAGACTGATCTAAAAAAACAACATATATGATAAGAACTATATAATAAATATTTTCTCACCGGATGGTTGTGAATTTTACAAAGGTCAGTGATAGTTCAGGGCTTTTAGGGCGTGTGGTTTTTCAGTTTCAGGATCCATGCACACTAACAAGCCACTGAACCACAAAAACAAAACAAGGTTTTACAGGAGCTTCTATAATGAAATTAACTATCCAGTCAATATTTTTACATTTATTTAATTATATTTTCTATATTTTATACACATTCTGTTATTTAAGATAACTACAGTTTGAGGTAAACAAGACCATTTTACTCAAAATGGTATTTTGCATAGTTCTTAGGATCAATGTATTGGCTAACTTAAAAAAAAAAAAAAACAACTGATAAAATCATATCAGGGTAAAAAAAAAAAATCATGACTCTTACATTGTGAGTTGAGTGCATCATTACATCCAAAATCATTACATACAAAAAAGTTGGTAAGACGAGACAAAACCACTACTCTTCAGCCACATTCATGATACAAATCGCGAAGAAACTGAAAGAACAACCTCCTCTGTCACACACACCCACACACAGAATTTATTTGCTACACATTTGCTACACAAGATTCTGAGACACAACATCTGAAACATCAACGTGACCAATTGTTTCCTTTAAAACCTGTTGTATATTATCTGATACATGTATTCTGCCCCCTAGTGGATCAGAGTGGTTAAAGTTAAATACAGATTATATATTTGATATAAAAATATATATCTCATGAACAAAACTCAGCGGCAATTTAATTTCGTTATGATGTTTAGTCAACATCCCAATTCCAAACATTTAGAATTTTCACTGAGGGCGGGGGTAATTACGTGAGACTTTACGGGGTGACAGACAAAAGTAGCTGAACTGAAAACTTGATCTTTATCAGCTGATCAGTCAATGTTCTGCATGTCTTAATATAACACAACTTGACCTTTTAATAGCACATTGTGAAACTTTTCACATCACAAAATAACAATTTCATATAAAGCCTTTTAATCCGGTACGGTTTAATGAGTCCACCTTACCGTAGAATAGCTGCCTCCACTGCCGTCACCTCCTCGGCTATCATCAGCCACAGGGTCCGCCCAGCTGCGGCAAACTTTGGAAACATTTGACCGTCTCCCCGAAGAGCTTGCTTTGTTTGTCATGCAGCATCTCTACGCCTCCGTTCCGTTTCCACCTCTAACAAACCGTCGGGTGTACATTGTCAAGCAACTTCAATAAAATAAAAACGAAAATCATCAATATTCAGCGTGTTCAGCAACACACGCACGCTGCTCTCAGAGCCAACGGAGCTGCGGGGAGGGATTTAAAGTTGTGATTGGACCAGCCCCGTGTCAAACAAGAAACGAACCAATAGGCTGCGAGTTATCGGCTGGCGAAGAAACGTGCACCTGAGTGGGTGTTTATCAATAAGAGTGGGCCGGCCCAGTGTCAATCACCTATCTGTGAGCTTGATGGTCAGAATAAATAAACAAACAAACGCCGTAGCGTGGACCTAAGACTAAGACCTAAAGATAACGGTCACACTAATAGTGTGTGATGGTTTAAGTTCCTGTTTTTTTTTTTAATGTAAATACTCACTATTTTGAGGAATATCACGTATCAAATAAGATAGCTGGATAGTTAGCCAGCTAACCAGCTTGCTACGTAGCTACCTAGCTATTTTAATCTTTATCCCTGATAGAAAAACAGCACAAAAATGTAGTAGGGAAATGAAACTCATTGTAAATAGTTTATTTTATATTCATTGAAAATCTCATATCACCTATGTTTTTCTTACTTTTAAAAAAGGATGTTATTTCATAGTAAGCGCAAACTGTCTAAAAACATTTCTGTTGAAGGTAAAAAAAAAGAAAAAAGAAGACGACGACATGCCAGTAATGTCCAGTTAGTGAAATGATGCTGTAACAGGCTTACACCGATTACAGTGGAGACAGGAAGGTGCATCACTGAGCCACAGTACCAGCTCATCACAAGTCCATGAAAAGAAATGTCACTTTGTTGTTGCTTGTTTGTGTATAAATGACGGACAAGTGTGAGATTTCTGTGGATTTCTGGCTGCATTTGGCTTAATTAAATTACAAAAAAAAAAAATCTATAAGTTAAAATAACATTCAAGTTGTATAACACAAGGCAATGAACACTTTTTTTGTTTTAACAATATGTACAATATTAACCATGTGGTTATAAATGTGAATAAGTAATAAAAATAATTAAAAAAAGGAAACAGTTTGTAGCAAAATATCTGTACATTTCGGAAACGTACTGTTGTTTCGCCTGGACACACATCGGAAGGAAACGTGAGCTTCAAGGAATCTTCAGTGGTTAAATACTATACACATAATGTTACATTAAAGTGAGTAAACGCAGAAATATGAGTAATTGGTAAATAATCTTACAGAAATATGGTAATCTGTTTCCAGTTTTGAGTATGAGATCATCTACTGATGTTTAGATTCAAATGAGCAGTTTTCAAAAAATATTTCTGTTGCTCTAGTTCACTCGAGAAATACAACCTTGGCTACAAAAATGCAGTTTGACCCTAAGGCAGAAAAAACAAAGTTGTGCAGTCAAAGTAAATCCAGTAAAATCAGTTAATCACTGATGAAATGGAGCCGGATTAAAAACAGCTGATATTTACATTTCACATTAGTCTGGTTTTGTTTCGATTTTTTCCTCTGTTTTTTTTTTCTTTCAATTTTTCTCTACTAAACCTAATTTAGTACAAATGCAGTTAATTCATATTCACTTTGTTATTAAACGTGAGATGTATGGTTGGAATGTGAACAGCACCAAAATGAGACATTACTGCATGTGAAGGAAACACTGGATTTTCTGTAACAGCTCAAGGGAACAGTGTCCCATACATTCTACGTTACGTCTCCCAGGAAGTGTGTCCTTAAGTGGCTCTTTGAGCCACACGTCCTAAAGTTAAAGCCTTGTCGCGTCGTATTGCTTTTAGTGGATTCATTAAAAAACAGACAAACAGAAGAAAGAACAGTGCGATATTAGATCACAAAAAAAAAAAGTTCAGGCACTTAGATTATTTAAATCTGGCTGTTTTCAACACTGCGTTGATGTTCAAGGTAAAACACTGGACTGAGTACTGAGTACTGAGTACTGAGTACTGAGTACTCCGACCTGTCCGTGATGTGAAACAAATTTCAAACATTGTACACATTTGCAATTTCTTATACTCAAAATATCAGTGCAAGTGCTTCGCAACATTCACCAGCTCATCATGTCACACAGCTATGTGTGCAGTATTGCATGTTTAACTCCTTAGTCACTGACTTCTTTAGTCAACAACACCTGTTGTTTGTATTGAGTATTACACCCAGTAGAACAGAAGTGTCAACAATGATGCAGTTCTTTTTACTGAACTGCTCTGGCTACGTACAGGAAATCCTGTAATAAAGAGTTATACACACCAGTGCTGTATTACATTTAACTGTTGCATTAGACTTGTACTGACATTCTGAGTAAACTGGATCACCTCAAAATCCCCTCCCAGGAGTAACAGTAGACCATATTGGAGCTCATGTTTTTGGTTTTACTACAGCTCAGTGTGTATGACCCTGAACAACAGCACATGTTTTTAAAAAAGCCAGATTTCTCCTTTATCTCAACGTGTTTTAAAAAAAAGCCAGATTTCTCCTTTATCTCAAAGGTTTTTGAACAAACCGACCAGGTTCAGTCCCACTTCAAAGTCCTTCATGGTGAAAAGCTGCAACAACATCACAGACGTGGAGTAAAATGTTATTCTTATGTATTATATATACATATACATGATCATCTGTGTGGGGGCTTCGATATTTGTCCATCTTTCTCTCAGCCTTCACTTTGTGTCCATTTCCAGGCTCTCTCTCTCTCTTTCTCTCTCTCTTTTTCTCTCTCTCTGTCTTTGACGTTTCGCTCTCTCTCATCTTTTATCCTCCTCTCTCTTTTCGTCTCCCCTCATGCCCTCCCAGCACTTGCATTGCTCCCTCGTCACATGACAACTTCGCCACCGTTCACGGGCCGCAGGTTCTGATCATCAAAACGTCTCCTGACACTCCTGCGCACAGCGTCCGCTCGCCTGTAAGGCTGATTCCTCAAATCTGAAAGAGGTGGAGGTAAAGGGACGGGATATAGGAGGGAGGGAGGGAGGGAGGGAGGATAAAGGAGCTGTCAGTCATCCTGTCAGGGTGATGTGTTGAGACCACATGCTCACAGTGCTGGCAGCCTGTCTTTCAAAGCAGCATGAGTTCTAGACGGGAGGGAGGAAGCCCCTCGGGTCGACTGTCTCTGGGTATTACAGCAGGAGACAAGCCACTGGCGTCTGATTTATAAGCTTCTAACTAGAGGTCACTAAAATAAAGGAAAACACTAAAAAAAAATTTTTTTTTTTACAAAATGTGCAGCTATTTCTGAAACAGTAAGGGAAAGGCAGGCTTAAATGAGAAATGAGACAATAAAGGAAAGGAGGTAATAAAGAGATGCTTGCCAGGTCTGGGACACATCCACCACTACAGGTGTGTTACTGGAAGACTTCCTTACCCTCGAGTAGACATTGGGAAATTTAGTAATATTATTCTTCTTTAGGGCTAGATGAAGAGAAGACAAAATGGAGGTTACACAACAAGAAAGAGGAGGTGGAGCCGGTTTAACATTTTTCACACTGACTTTGCACAGGGGGCGCTGCGAGAGCAAAGCAGCAGTGACAGCAGGGAGAGAGAGAGAGAGGGAGAGAGAGAGAGAGGGAGGGAAAAGGTCAAGACAGGGGGCCAAGCTGGAGGATGTTAACGCACCATGTAGCGGGAGGGGGAGGTGGAGGGGGTATAGAGACAGAAGCTGGTTTTAGCGCCACCTTGTTTTCTGTGTTACTACAAACCCAGGCTGCTTTGCTGAGAGGCTACCAGCAGGAAAGTTGCGGTGGAAAAAAAAGCCCATTATACACTTCCATTAAGAGCAACTGTTACTGAAAAACAAATGATGTGAAAACCCCAGAGACTGCAGGAGAATAACAACAGAACAGAGCAGCATGCATGGAGCCAGAGAAACACTACACAGTGACGTCAGTGTGTCAGTTCACTGAGACTAACAGGTGGTGTCGCTGTAAGTTCATACTGTATGTACATGCAGGTTGTTAGTAACACCGTCAGACAGCTGTAGGTCATGTGACCTGTCTGCAGGCCAAACACAGCATCTGGACTAACTGGAAGAAAACAGGGTGCATGATGGGAAGATGGCAGGAGTAAAGCAGTCAGCATCCATGGAAGCTGCATCAGCATCAGCATCAGCAGCATCAGCAGCAATGAGGTTAATGGTGATACAACAATGACGTTGTAAATAAACATTTAAACAAACATAAAAAAAGGCAAGTTATAATGCCACAGCTCCTACAGCGTCATATAATTTATACTAAACAGCTTCAATTATTAGCCACAACAATTTCCCCCATTTTCTTACAGGGCAGAGATATGTTAACACAGCATTTATTGACATTTTTTGGGAAGTGCACCTTTATGTTGTTCAAACTGTACACACAATAAAACTAAATTATTTTTCAAAAAAATACTAAATTACTAAAATACTGTACACACCATAAAACTAAATTATTTTTCAGACTAAAAAATAGCTTCAATCTGACGTGTCAGTCTTTTTCACCTATCTTAATAAAAGCCCGTTGTCAGTGTCGTAGTTTCAGACAACTTCCCAGTCGACTCCTTAGTGGTAAATAGTCTTTGGCATGGACCCTGGTCCTCATTTGACTGACTGACCTTTACTAGGTGATTAAATTAGAAGTTTGTTCAGACCATCATTTTAATAACCTTTACTTTTGTTCCTCACTTCCTTTCACAGACAGGGAACAGGATTTAGCTTCTCTGGTCTGTGTTTTCTGGTCGTCTGTGGATGAATGTTGATGCATGTGCAGAATGACATGCAGTGAATTTAAAACAGTTCCACAGTCGGACAAACACATTCATCCACCTGCTGGTTTTTGACTTTGTGTTCCAGCAATACACAGTATAAAAAGTATTTTGGTCAAATTTAAGACAATATTTCATCTGGATTAATCATGATTAATCGTGGTTAATTATGATCATGACCAATCATGATTAACTACGGTCAACCACAATCATGGTTATTCATAATACATTGTAATTAACCAGATTTTTATTAATTAAATGTTTTAATGACTGTGTCATTTTACCTTTTATTTTGTAGGTTTAGATCACACACGTCATTGTTTTTGTTGGGTTTTTTTACCCTAATATTTTTGTACAGTGTTTTGTTGTTTTTTTTTACCCTAATATTTTTGTACAGTTAACAAATATATTTCTTGTTTCCTGCTGTGTAAACAAAACACAACTTCCAAAAAGGTTTACATGTTGGTGGAAATGCTGTGTTCAAATCCTCTGCTCTGTATAAAGAAACTGAGATGATAATAAGAATAATTTACACTGCGTCTCCCACCACTAGAGGGCAGCAACGAGCTAAACATTGCTGCCCTCCCTCCATCATCCACAGCATCCCTTCAGGTGAGGCTGACCTTGTGTAGTTTCTCTCTGTGACATTATACATTGCCATGGTCAATAAAATGATGGTGATGAATGTGAGCGTCACACCGTCGTGCAAGTGAGCAGAGAAATCTGTTAAACCAACACCTCGTCATGCTCAGGTAGAGAGACAAACACACCCAGAGAGACACACACCAACACACACGGTCAGAACTTTTGTACTTTGAGTCTCCAGAAACCATGAGTGCACATGCACAGGTCTGAGGAGTGAGTGAACTGTGACGGGTTAATCGTGGAAGAGTGTGAAGAGGCATGCAGGACAAGGGAGGAGACACCAAGACGAGAACATTTTGTTCCAGAAACCTTGGAGAGGAGACAGAGTTCTATAAGCTTAGTAATGGTACTCCTCATTGAGGGCGGGCTCGCAGAAGAACCGAGAGCCGCGCTTGGCTGTGCGGGCGGTAAAGGGCACGGTCTTCAGCACTGCAGCGAGAAGGACAGGGACAACAGCCAGGACAAGACAAGACAGAGACAATTAAAGAAAAGCAGATTTCTAAAGGAGTTTAGCTCTGGTTAGCACTAAGCAAATACCCAACAACAGCGCCAACAGGAGGCCGGGCGTAATGTTTCTAACTGCACTAAAATGCTCTACGGGCTAGGCCAAAGGTCAAAGGTTAAACGTATTGTTTTATTCTGGTTTTATTCCTTCTATTTCTATATCACATAAAGCAGTATTATCTCTGAACATAACATAAGTACATTGCTATAATTATCATTGTTAAATGTTTTTACTCGCATTATTATGACTTAAATAATTAAGAATATTTAAATTGTCGTTTGACTGTTTGAAACCTAGTACATAATTTCTATCACATCACAATATACATTCAGACATAGTAGGTTTTGCACAGAAAATCAGTTCAACCCTGACCTAAAATAATGAGAAAATGAAATTGGAAATAGTTCTTTTGATGCCATTTCTCCATCATAACATTATTAATGAAATTAATAAAAAATATTAACGAGTATCTGACGATACTAACGAGTATTGTTTTAGTCACTTAATAAAAAACCAAGTTATGTTAAGTTAAGTTATTTATTATATACAGTTAAGTCCAATTTTTTTGAGTAAATATGAAAATATTTTGAATTTAGTTTGATATTAGGACGTGTCAACATTCAAGTACTGTATTATATGAATGAGTACAAAGTAGTATTTATCCAGTTTCTTCACATTATTATCGGAGGAACTATTGTGTTTTGGTTGATTTTTTTTTTTTTTAAATCCCACAGTTGATGATCAAGTTCATATTTAACTGTGAGGAAGCCTGAGTATTTGTCAGGTCACACACAGGTCAAATATGTCTAATGATCCAAATGAGAGTTTAAGTATCTGCTGGTTAGCAGTATTACGCCATTCACTGTAACACTATCGGCAAACGTTAGCGCTTCAGTTCCACCACTGCCTGTGGCTCAGTTTATTCACCTGAGATTGAACCTGTCAGGAAATCCTACACTTACGACCCGGCCGGGTCTACGTACAGATTGCGTTGCAGAGCATTGACAGAGCAGGTCAGATAAGCAACGATCATGAGAATCATCCAAGCTGAACGTCTGCGAGTTAGCCAAACTGTCAGAGCAGGTTTGTTCTCATGAGGAAACACGTTTGATTCATCAAACATCTGACGGCTGATCCTGTGTTAGTGGCTGCAGAATCCCTCGGTTAAAGACTGAGTGAACAGCACAGGAGAGGAACCTTCATGCAGAGCACCCTTTATGTGTATGTACGTGTGTGTGTGCGTGTGTGTGTGTGTGTGGGTGTAGTCACGATCGTCAGCCAGGTCCATGTGACGGTGTTACCTGTGATAATATCCTCGATGGCTCCGTCTTTGCCTTCATACACATGACGACTGTCCTTCACCTGTTTCTTCCTCAGCTCCTGGATCAGCTCCTGCTGCTGCCGCTTGTTTTTATGAGATGGAGACTGAACAAGAAACACACACACACAGAGACAGAAGGACATCATTGTTATCATTTATCAACTGTTATTAATCATCATCATCTTCCTGTGGTTTCATCCAGACTGTGTTTATGAGGAGACGAGTGACTGAGGAACCACAGGAAATACAAAAACAGCACAAAAGACTTGGACTATCAGTCTGGACCTCGCAGCCATGACATCACTTATAAGTGGAACTGCCGGTTCAAATCCCTTTGACCCAGCTTTAGTGCTGAGCAAGCACTGAAGCTGGGTCAAAGCAATTCTCCCTCTCCCTAAAAAAATAAAATAAAATAAAGTAAAATTAAATTTAAAAAAGTTTCATTAAATTAAAACAAAATCCAAATAAATGGCAATACAATTTGAACAAATTAAGTTGAATGAAGTAAAGTGAGTACAGTAAATTATAAAGTTTTAATCAATTAAAATATTTAAAAAGACAAATAGAATAGAATGATTTAATGTAAGACAAACAGGGACAGAAAACCATCACAGAGTAACTACAGCCAACAGACACCAGTGACTCCAGAGGAGGAGGATGAAGGAGGAAGGGAGTGACTCCTCTTTCTCAGGACCCATCCCCTCAACTTGATGCAGGAAGGAGAGGGTGTTAAAAGTTGTATAAAAAAAAAACATCTCACTTTCTGGTTTTCCTGCAGCATGGCCTCTTGTTCCAGAAGCTTCTCCATCATCAGCTGCTCCTGTCTCTTCCTCTGCTCGTTGTCCTCCTCTGCTTGCTGTGAAGATTACAGGATTGTCACACACAATACACAAACTGTTGTTCTTCCAATCTGAGGCTTTCACTAATCACAAGTCATAAATTGGAAAAAAAAAAACCACGTCAGCATCCAAACATCTGCAAACGGAGATGATGCTTCGACGTCCTGAGCCGTTCAGAGCAGTTAAAAAGACAAAAGACGTCAGTGAGCAGGACTGACACACAGCTGCTCTGGAAGAAAAACAGCTGAGACGCAGCAAAGTCCTCCAGAGAGAGTTGGACCGAAGCCCAGTTTGTGTAAACCTGTTGATCGAGCTGCGAGGGAAATATGACACTGTGAGAGCAGAAACTGCAACAGGAGCGACGACGACTCCGTTCGTCCGATTGTAAATGTAACAGCAGAGCAGGTGTGACGAAGACGACTCACCCTGTATGCTTTCACAAATCTCACAAACACAGGGAAGAAGACGGATGGTGGTGTGGTTTTGCAGTTCTCTCCGAAAAACTTCACCACTTCATCGAAGGCGTCCTTTTAGAGACAAACAGTGGTTTTTACTTGGAGACAAAATAAAAACAACAACAAACAACAGCGTGACGTAGTGCGGCTGCACAGCTGGCGTGTTCACGTTACCTGTGCAATCTTAGCATCGTCCTGCAGCTTCTTCAGTTTGCTCTCGTTGTGCGCGATGAAGTCCTTGAGCATGGTGTTGTGGCCGTGCATGCTGTACTCTCTCCTGGTCAGCTCCATTCCTCTCTGCAGCTCCTTCACGTCCAGGAGGACGTTCTCCAGCGAGACTGGGGACACAGGGAGATTTATGAGTCCAACTGGAACACCGACGCTCGCTACACCAAACCTCTGAACTCAACAGATGCGTAATAGTAAGTGGGAGAAAATGCTAGGATCGCACACGTGCTCAGTAGAAATCCCATGAACAGACGTCTGTGGGACTCACCTGCTGCGGCTTTCTCCACATAGTGCAGTTCATTGTAAAAGAGCGAAACCTGCGTGTATTTCTCCTTCACCACGTTGGCGATGTAGTGCAACAGTGTTAGCTTTCGGTCTGTGGACTTGGTGTCAAGCAGCTGGGAAAACAGGAACAAACAAATGGTGTAAAAAAAATAGTGGCTGGATTTAAAACGCCGGAAGATTCTGTTTCTTTTTTTTTTCTTTTTTACCAGGTCTAAGCTCTGCAGCTTGAATCCATACACCGCTCCTCGTTTGCTGCTGTTCATGTAGTTACCAAGTGCCAGAATAATCTGAAGAACAAGAAACATCAAGGTGAAGAAAGAAAACCCACAGATGAAGTCAGGTTATATACCATCAAGAAATAAGTGTGTGAATTACTTCTAAAATTTTCTTCAGCTTCTGTGAAGATTTGATGGACACTGAGGCCGCGATGACTGCATGGAGTTGCTGCAGGGGAACAGAGACACAGTGAACTGGTGTGTTCAGCAGATGGTTGTAGTTTTTGGGCGAAGCATCTACAAGAATACCGTGTGAATACTCACCGGCGTGAGCATCTGGATGCTCTCGCTGAAGTTTCCGATGAAGGTCATGATGGTCATCTTCTGCATGAGCCTCTCGATCTTACTGAACTGCATCATGAAGCGATCCTCGTCCGTCAGGCTTTCCAGCGGCTTGCGCTCCTTTTCAAACTGCCGCAGCACCTTGATCTCGTTCTCCGTGGGCTGGAAGCGCATCAGGCACTCCACGAAATCCACAGGCAGAGTCCTGAGGTCGAACCTAGATGACGGGAAAACAACTGGGTTCTAATTTGCAGTCAAAATTTTTTTATTATTTAATTGAAATAAAAAATAAACATAATTTTTATACTAAGTTATAATAATAATAAAAGGAGGTTTAATTTTCCAGTAATCTAAATGAAGACTAGATTTAAATTAAATCAAATCAAATGCTGCATACTACAGTGTTAACCTGTAGAGGTCGCTCAAAAACACAGATTCTTCATGAATATTTGATCTGGATCAGGGATTTCTGTCTTTTGTTTGAAGGGACTCACAGTTGAATGCCCTTGCAGATCTCCTCAGGCGTCTTCCCCACCTTCCTCAGTGTGATGGCCAGGTTCTTGGCTCTGTTGGAGTCCAGCAGGGACACCTTATTGGGCCCCTTCTGAATCACCTTCTGCTTGCTCATGCTCAGGTCAATGGACTGTCCCTGCGCTTTCGTCTTGAACATTTCTTCAAACTCGTCCACATTCAGATCCTGAAAAAAAGTCCAGGAAAGAAAAATCAGTTTCTGTTACTCTTCAAGACTGGAACGTGTGAACGACATCTGAGCGAAGGTAAAGGCTCCGGGATTTCCCACCTCCAGGATTCTCTCGTCGTCGATGTCGTTAAAGACAGTCCCGTTGATCTGGTTTGGTTTGAGGGCAACCCAGTTGAAGACGGGCATTCGGAATTTTGTCTTGATGGGTTTCTTGATCTTTACAGCTGAGAAGAGAAACCCGGTGATTAGGTCCAGTGGTACACAAAACACACACACACACACACACACACACATGCAGGACAAACACAGACTGGACAGGTGTCGGTGATTCAGGACACAGACACAGGTATGAGCCTCGTGTTCAACTCTGTTTGATGTGAACGTACACACAGACACGACATGAGGCCTTGGTGTCTGACGGTGAATGATGGTGAGGATTTCCTGTTTATCACAGTGTTAAATCTATTTGTAGTCACATAAGGTGAAAAAAAAAACACTTTGTGACAGCAGGCACTGGGAGTACCGATCATTAGGAAGGTGAACGGTGTGATGTTAATCCATCCGTGTGCCACCGCAGGTCTCAGCATGCAACCAAAACAAACAAACAGAAAATGATACCAGGTGCTGAGGGTGAGAGATGGAAAAGTTTGAAATCTGGTATTTTTATTTTCTGTTCATGTCCATGAGGAAGTGAGCTCAGAGTCTGAAAATACCACTTTCAAAACTTAAGTTAAGGGAAGTCTATGTGTGTGAGGACACGTGGTGTCAAACAACAGCAAACTGGTCGAGCAAAAACCTACAGAACAGTTTGATGGGTCCCTCTGGTTGGCAGAGATAAAAGAAGAGTCGTTAGGAAACAGGTCATTGCGAAACTGGCAGAGTTAGTGAGAAAGTTGGAAATCACACACATCCACAACATCTCCAGGGTTTGGCTCTGTCTCTGCTCTCAGGTCTCACCACCTGAGAGCAGGAGTCGAACTGATCTACAGTGGGGTCAGGTTTCACACTGGGTTCATAAAACACATATGACACAAAACTATCAGTCAAAAAGCAGTTGTAGCAAATGCTGGCAGGGAAATCCTCCGCTCTGAAGGACAGTAACTGTAGCCGCGGTTCCTTGTAGCTCAAACAGAGAAATAAAAACTACTGACACTAATCTCCAACCAAGATGCTGCGACACTCCTGTGTGTGTGTGTAATATCCAGTGTATTTGAATTATGCCACTTTTAATGTCTCCTCTAACGAGCACAGACTTGACCGTGTCTTACCTGCCAGCCCGGAGTTCATGATGACAGTGGGTGTCCCACAGCCCGGCAGTGGAGGAGCTCCAGGTGGAGGAGGTGGAGGCAGAGGAACTGAGATTTCAGAGGCTAGACCTGGGGGTGGAGGGGGTGGAGGAGGAGGAGGAGGCGGGGGCGGTGGAGGAGGTGGTGGAGCCACAGCTGCTGGAGGGATAACCACTGAAGGTCCGTTTGGCACTGGGACAGAGGAGATGAACAGAAATAGAATTAGAATAAATAGAATTAAATCAACCCCAGGTGAGCTATTACCAATGTCACTGATTAAGGCATGTTGTGATTCAATTTTCCCTGAACTTTTAAAGGAAATTTTAGATCACTTTAATGACATTTTTTTAAAATCAAATTTCACATTTCTTGCTCATCTTTAACCCATTTTCTAGCTAAGTGTGAGCATTTTGAAGAAGTAGAGGAAGTAATGATGAAGAAGATGCAGTCGATAGTAGGAGAATATACTGTAGCTCAGCTATGTCTTGTGTACACATACAAATATGAATATGAATATACAGTATGTAAACACACACATACATGTATGTTTTCATGGTCAACAATGAAATTCATAATTCATAACTCAAACGTACGTGTGCCGTTGACTGGCAGTGGAGGAGGAGGCGGTGGAGGAGGAGGAGCAGACATGCCCGTCATAACTCCAAGGTGGTTTGGACTGACAGGTCCGACTGTTCCTCCAATCACAGCTCCTGCTGGAACACCTTCGACTCCTCCTGGCGGCGAGGCCAGGATGGAGATGTCTCCGTCCTTCTTCTTGTGGATCTTGATGGTTCCCTGTTTCTCCAGCTCGTGGATCTTCTTCTCCAGGTTACTCTGCCTCTGGATGGCTTCGTCCTTCTCCTTCAACACCAGCCGCAGAGAGTGGACCTGTGAGCTGGCGTCTTTGTAGACGTCCTGTTGTCAGGAGAGGACGCAGAGATGTTTGTCAACTCATCAGTTTCAGCCGTTGATAAAATTCAAAGGTATGGGTCGAAAAGGTAATATTGAAAAAGTCCAGCTCTGACCCTGAGGGTTTCAAGGTCCTTGTTCCGTTGCATCAGCTGTTTCTCCAGCTCCACAATCTTGGACATGGCCTCGTTCTCCATGTCCTGCAGCTTCTCCGTCATCTGTGAGAGGAACAGTGGAGGATCAAGTCACAATAACGTCTATAACTGTACCATGAGGATCCACTGCAGTCCACTCACATGAGACATGTTCTCCTCCAGCTCCTCCACCCGCTCCAGGGCAGCATTTTTGGTCTCTGCGTCCTCCAGGAGAGCTCCTACGTCAAAGACGTTATCTAAGTAGGCCTGGATCTGAACCTGCAGCTTATCGCTCTCCGTGTGTTTAAGTTTCTGCAGCCACACAAAGACAATCATCAAGACAAGTTTCACACGTCAGTATTTAGTTGTCTTTATTGGTTGTTAAGTATTTGTTCTTTTCTTGTGACCTGGTTATAAAACACTCACTAAACACTAAAAGACTTTTACCAATTCACATTTGTTGAAGAATGTTGAGCCGAACTGTGACCGATTCACATTTGTTGAAGAATGTTGAGCCAACTTACGTCCAAGTAGTCGTCCAGACAGAGCTTGGTGAAGTCATACTGCAGGTGAACTCTGAAGTTCATGTCCTCCACTGAGTGTACCACAATATTGATGAACTGCATGCACGCCACCTGGATGAGACCAGACACAAAACAACAACGTTGGACCATCCTGTCAACAAGGACATGAGAAATCCTCTCTATGAACCAACATGTTTTTCTGACCCTGGAAATTAACGCATTAATCACAGAAACAGCCGTAGTTATATACATTTATTTTAGGATTAAATTGCAAATTAATGCAATTTTCAACCTTGGGTTCATCTGGACGTCAAATGGAGTCGCCTAAAAAGTCTGGTAAAAAATTAAAATGAATGAATAAATTACTGAAATAAATATGTTTTAACTTGACGTGACAGCTACTAAAATGTCTCTGGGGACGACAGATAGAGTTGTGATGTCATCATGGTTAATGGGTTGGGAACCAGTGGTGAAACGATTTCACGACAGATAGAGTTGTGATGTCATCATGGTTAATGGGTTGGGAACCAGTGGTGAAACGATTTCACCACTGAATCTGTCGTCTTATATTCTTAACTGATCCTTCAATGTTCAAGATAATAAATGAAAATAAATAAGAAATAAAATGTATAAACAGCAGTCCGCGAAACCCCTGCTCCTTCATCTCTCATTTGACATAAATGATGGAGGATCCTTTTATGTTCACAGATCTTTCATTTCGTTAATATCTCCGCTCCCAAAATTGTGTGTGGAAATCCACGATTGTGATGAAAGAGCCACAGTGGAAGCTTCATACGTCGGATTAAAAGCGGTCAAAGAAAACATCAGTCAGCCGCTTCATCTGCTGCATTCGAGGAGGCTGCGTAAACAGATGAAGGAGGATTTCTCCACACTGACTGACAATGGCTTAATGAACTCCCAGTAAGGAGCTCAGTTATCTTGTGCCACATGGAGGCTTTAATCTGTTTTGTTTGCTGTTCATTCTCCAGTCAAACGACTACCGTATCACAGAGTTAACTCCAAGGTCCTGCTAGAGGTCTCTCTCTTTTAAAACAAACGCCACAACATTCAGTATCAACTACAATGACAAATGTGGAAATGAGTTTGAGTTGAAATTTGACACAAAAAGTATAATTCCTTAGTTTTGTTAAAACAGCTTCAAATGGTAAATGATGCACGTTAGCATTAGCTTGTGTGTGTATTTGTGAAACGTGTACAATTCTGTAAAAATAAAACCATTTCTTGTTAATGTCCTAGAAGCATGAACTATTGTTTTCATTTCATTGTTGTGGCTGTTGTGTATCTACTGGAAACATATACATCACAGCTGCTCCGACAACAGCCAACACCATCATTGTTCAGGACAAACCCAGGATTACTGCAGTTTTGTTTCGACTCCAGTATTCTCAGAGGAGCATACTGGAGTACAAAAGCCAATTTAAAGCCATAAGTATCGTGTGTGTGTGTGTGTGTGTGTGTGTGTGAGCCTTCATACCATGAAGTCGATGTTGTTGTCCTCGTTCTTAAAATACTCCATCAGCTTCTCAAACCGCTGCTCCTCCACACAAACCTGCAGAACAAAAACCACATCAGTGAGTTTGCAGTCGTTAAGATTCTGATGAAGATGATTATTATTATTACCATCATGAATAACGATGACCTCATTCCACTAAAGACTAAATCAACCCTTCACCATCAATCCGCACTGAATCATTTACAATAATGACATAATTAGGATGTGACTTTCAGCAGTGGTTTCTGTCAGGGTTTGTTCATGTGCTGTCCACCAGAAATAGTAACTTTAGAATTTTGGGCCCCAGTCAGTTGTTCTGGGTCATTTCAATAAAATATGTTGTTAATTCTGTAATTAGTAATTCTAGTTAGAGAGACACAGATATTAATAAGGGCTTGAATGCGTTACCCAAGGTTATCAATTTGTAGATTTCAGCAGTTTTAAAATAATGATGTTTTTAAACACATGGGCAGAATATTGTCACTGTGAATCCAATCATTTCCTCGTCGCTTTAATCGATTAATTAAGTCGATACATGTGTTGTTATTTGCACATACTGTGGGTAAAAAAGGTTTTGTTGTCCTTTTTTATTATTAGTTATCAGATGTACTCTAAGTAAATAGAGTCTTTGCATCTCAGGCTCAGTTCGAGCATCTGCGTTCAATAACACTTGTGGTCTCGCTTCAACCACATATACTGCGGTACTTTAAAGTCAGAAGACCAAATAGGAAGACTAAAAGAGGGGCTCGTGAGAAAGACAAAGAAACGCTGAGCCTCTCAGACAGTTCACGTGAAGGGCAACCAGGGAGACGGAGCACCAGGAGGAATTCAGGGGAAGAAAAGACAGACGAAAGTGGAGAAATGTGTGACCAAAAAAACCCCAAGAATGTCTCGTTCATTAAGTTGAAGCGATTTCTTTTTAAAATATTGAAACACGTCAAAGCAAATTAAAGCTAACAACATGTGCAATTAAACCAAAAAAAAACACACAGAACCAAGCCATGGTTTTTTAGCTGCTCGACACCAGCTTGATTCCCTAACCTTATCCCTTATTAAGAGCTCCACTCTCCCTGAGCCTTTCCTCCCACTAATGCTGATGCCGCTGAGAGCAACACTCAATATTTCATCCACTGATGTAAATATTGCATTAACTGCAGTCAGCCCTGTTTTGGGGCCTTATGCTACAAAATGGGGCTGTTGTTGTTGCCCACGCCGTCATGAAATTCACACTCCTTCCTCCAGAAGTCAGAACCCTTCACCCAGACAGACAGAGTTCAGGCCGAGGTTGTGCGCTACGTCTGCCTGTGTTGTTCTGTTCTTTGAGGTCTCCTCTAACATCACACACACACAGACACACACTGCTGTTTACTGCGGAGGTCGTCCACTGTTGTTATGTCTGTGATCTTTCTCAGCATAAAATTGTTTCTGCGTGCTACTGTTCTGCAGTGCTGAACAAACTGCCACAGCAGCTGAGTCACTGTTTGAAAATGCACACGCTGTAATGGCCGCTCATCACCTCAGACACCCGGCCCGTTCACGTGCGGCTCTCACCTCCTTAAAGTTGTCGAACGCCGACAGAATTATTTCGTGGCCTCCTCTCACGAGACAAACCGCTGCCAGGAGTTCCAGGACCAGAGCTTTAGTCCTGGGAAAATAAAACACAGGGAGTGGTGAAGTTAGTAAATGGTAGTTCAGAATTTTTAAAAAGTAGCTGCTTGTGTGTTGGACACAACAATCAAGTAACAGATACAGACTTTAAACGTGGTCAACAAAAGACTACTTTTTAATTGTAACTCATTTGTAATTTTAAAAGACGATTATAAATGATAAATTCAAGGCTGAACACAATACTCACCATAATTAATTTAAATTATTCAAATCCAATAAAAAAACAATAATTATTCTCCAGTCATTCACACAAACCTAACCACCTTTACCACAGTCAATACACAGTGTCATTCACACAAACCTAACCACCTTTAGCTCTGATTAATTACGAATAATCCACAACGATGAAAGAAATAATAATAATTTGACACCGTAACCAAAACACAGTGAACCAAAATGTTTGTTTTGAGTCGACTGAGCTGGCCAGTAATGATAGGCTGTTTGAGTTTCTGTTTTGTTGTTGCGGTAGAGGTACATTTGATACAAACTGCCCGGCCCATGATCCCAAATACCCCCTCCACCCCCCTTTATTTTACAAAGGCAAGAAACCCCGTGTTACCCTGTGTTTTTCAGCATCTGTTTCACGTGCCCTCCCTCTTCCTCTTTTCCCTTCACCGTGTGACAGACGATGTGAAGTGATTTCAACGTCCACTTCTGTGCAAATGTTTGAGCCTCGAGGCACAGAGTGGCAAAAACACCCTGACCTCAAACACACACACACACACACTCAGCGCTGAGTCCTTCTGGAGTTTGTCTGTGTCAGAGGACAGCGTGTGTGTGTGTCAGGTGAAGTGAATCCCTCAGAGACACACAGTCTGACGCTCTCTATCTCCCTGTGATGCTGCTCTGATGCAGCTGATCTCAACAACAGCCTCAACCACTCCCTGGAAATTGAATCTAAAGTGTGTTTTTATTTATATTTATTAGAAGCAAATCACTTGAAAAAACACGATCTTGTGTTTTCTGATCTCACCTGGGATTTTTGTTGTTGAGACTTAGTGCAATTTCATTCACAGCGTGTGGGTGGGACATGACCATGTTGAAGCCGTACTGGAAGATAGAAAAAAAAGCAAGACAATTCAGATTAGGTGCTCCAATCCAACCAATCAAAGCCTTGTTATAGCAGATATTTATTTTAACAGAACAGGGAACCAATCAAAGCCTTGTTATAGCAGATATTTATTTTAATTATATATTTTACATTATATATTTTTACTTTTCTTTATCAAAATCAAATTAAGGCCAGAGTGAGGGGATGTTTGGGTCTGATTTGGACTGCACTCCAGGAGTTGATGATTTCAAGAAGTGACAAAAAGTTGTTATAATCCTATTTGGAGGTAAATAAATGATAAATGAAGTCATTAATGTATAATGTCACCAAAGTAAGGTGATATTGTTGGTTATCAAATAATTGCAAATGTTTGTTTGTTTTCAGTCAGTTGTGGCTTTAGGTCAGTTCTGGAGGTCATGTTAACTTGACCTATATTTACCTACATTTTATTGCTTAACAATATGTGTGTGTGTCCAGTGGTGAGTGTGACCTCCTGACCTGGTAGTTCATAATAGGGAGCAGGCACATAATGCAGACGTGGACGTCGTCTTTTTTACAGACCAGTCTGGAGTTTTTCAGCGTCCGTCGGCTGGGCAGCGTGTTACAGCTGAGGAAGAAGCAGAAACTCACGTGAACATAAGAAAGGAGAAGAAAAAAAAAAAACAATTCCACTGACAAAGTGTGCAGTCTGTTGTCTGAAGACAAACAAAACAACAGATGCCATTAGTGGAGGAGCCGCCGTCACACTGTCTCCATCACATTGGGAGGCCATTAAACTGCCACGCCACCTTACACTAACACTCACAACAGCCATATAATCTACAGCCGACACACAAAGATAACACTTACAGCGAGCGCAAAAAAAAGTCATTTGCATGCAGCACAGTGTTGCGGCAGTTTAATGTGGACAAAAACAAGGCCTTTACCCTGTGGCCTACAACAATCTGGGTCAGAAGGTCTTTAGTTAGAGTTTATTTTCTGACTTCTGTCACAGGGTTCTGTTTCCAGCCTGATTCTGTGGAAAACTGTGTCTTCGGGCCACTGACAGACATGCTGATTCATGTCAGGGCTCCTATGACTGAAGGCCTAATTTCTCTAAGTCATAACAGTGTGTGTTCACGAGTGTGTTCATCTGAAGAAAACCAAGAAAGGAGGTAGAAACAAACCGGAACACAGTTCAACTACATGTTTTTTTTTTTTTTCGTCTGAGCATCAATGTGACGCAGCAGCAGCAGCTGTATGAGAAACCAGTTTGTCGCCATTCACGTAGAGAAAGCGATTCATCTGAACTGACGCACCTGTTTTACACATCCACCCAAAGTTAAGGTGTGAGAGAATTCACTTTAAGCTTTATTTTCATTCTCCTGCATAAACAGTACACGGATGGAACGTGACAGCGTGTGGAGCAGACACCAGAGCAACAGGCCGAGCAACAGTTAGATATTAAATAATAAAAACAGAATAAAATATGAAACAGAGAATAAATATATATGTATAGAAAGTCTCTGTATTTAAAGAGACAGAGACACAGTGACAGGTAATAACTAAACATTAATTCAATATATATTTTTAAACCAAACCAAATTATTATTATGAACATGATTACCACTAAAAAACGACTAATTCAACACCTACTTAGACAGTTAGCTTTTAGCAGTTAGCAATTCTAATCCAATCAAAAAAAACATAAGACCAACGATGACTAAATGATGTAAAACATTATCAGTGATATATCATATCATATCATAACATTTCACTAACACACTTATTTAAAAGAGGTAATTAGTTGTTTAAAAAATATTAATAATTATAAAATAAAATGAATGTGCCCAAATATGGCTGTATGTGTGGATTTGTTTTTAGCTTTTACTGAGCATTTGCAGAAAGTAGGCTAGTCTGTGCTCAGAATGGCATTTAGGACGGAGGCAGTAGAACACAGTCACACGGGCAAAAACAATGAGAGCAGAAAATCCATTTGCTCCAAGTAAAGAAGAATTCAGCCTGAAGCACGAGAGAGAAGGTTGGCAGTACAAATAATTCACATCCCTGACACAGACGGCAGGACAAATAAACTAGGCACGGCTCGGAGTGAGGTATAAAGGTACCACGAGGCAGAGGGGGGAACTGTGCATGTGTTTGTGTGTGACTGCAGCGTTCAGTTGGTGCCGGGGGGGGGGGGGACACAAAGCTGACT